AAAGTGTAAACACCTTAAAGCAGCAATAGAAAGTAAACTTGCTCCACTTTGGTATATCTTTTGGCAACTAATCTCGCCTTAGACCTTTCAACCTTCCAATTTGCTTTAATTTTGATCTTAAGACCTATTTACCACCAATTGGTACTTTGTCTTCTGGTAAAGTAACCTATTCCCACGTGTGTTAATGCTCTCAAAAACAGACAATTCCTTTTCCATGGCCTCAATTCATCTTTTATCATGAATACTTTGGGAATATGATTTAGGTTCCACATGAGATGAAAGAGATTGGAAAAGGAAAAAAGGGTTATGAATTGGACCGAGATGCTCACAGTAAACATACTCAGTATGATCATGTTTTGGACGATCTAGTGAAGAAAATAATTATGAAAGAGATTTAACTCAGGCAATAATTCTTTATTCATTCTTTTTTTATAAATGAGACCGAGATGATCATAATCAACAAATGATTATGAAAGAGATTCTACTCTTGAAACTATGCAGTTTGCCAGTCCCTTATTCATAATTTCTTGCTCTTATACCCCTTTCGCCCCTGCCTTGTGTCCTATTTTCTGCGTACACAAAAGCATGCTGCTCTGAACACTTAACATCTGTTTATGAACTCACTGATTACCCATTGCTCTTCAGTGTACAAAACATTGGAGCACCTGTATTTTGAAACTCTCTTCATGATGACTGGTTATAACATGTATTGTCATGAAAAGTAGATTATCAAGCATCGTTATAATGAAAAATAGGGCAAATACTCGGATGTCTATGGTGTTCTAGAGTGAGGACAAAAAGATGTTCCAGATATGAGGACTAATTAGCATTATGCCAATATTCATTTCCGGGAGCGTTTGGTTTGATGGAATGATTTTGAGGGATTTGGAATTGGAGGGATTTGGATTTGAAAGGATTTTGAATCTTTGGTGTGTTTAGTTTGTAGGATTCATAATGGAATTGAATCCATTTTTTATAGTATCTTATAGAAACAAATTATAAATAATTATAACAATAATTAAATTATCTTTTTATTGATTGATTATTATAAAACAAAATGTTTTCAACATATTTTAAAACATTATTATACATAAATCCTACAAAATTCCGTGAAATACCAAACACCCCTAGAGGGATTTCAAAATCCTAGGTCCCGTTTGGTTTGCAGGATCGGGTAGGATTTGGAGAGATTTGGAATTCAGTTTCACTCCAATTCCGTGTTTGTTTTGCAGGATTGCTTGGACTTGAAATCCTGCAAACATGGTATAAAGAAATCCCATGGGGGTTGTTGGTATTTCATGGGATTTCGTATAATAATGTTTTAAAATATGTTGAAAATATTGGTTTTATAATAATCAATTAATAAAAGATAATTTAATTATTTATAATTTGTTTTGCTAAATTATTTATAAAAAATGGAATTCAGTTCTATTTCAAATCTTACAAACCAAACACACTCAAAGATTCATTTCCAAATCCCTCCGGTTCCAAATCCTTGCACGGGATCCAAATCCCTCGGAACCATTCCATCAAACTAAGGGCCCTCTAAATGCTTTCCCTGGTCCTCTTTCTCTTAACAAGGAACGGGAAAGGGGGGAAATTTATTTTAACTTTTTAGCATTGAGATCGTTAACACCTCTTATTATCAGTAAAGCAGCCTGTACAACTTACGAGGTCATGGGCCAATTTTTCAGGCCCTATGTATTCTGCTTGCTGTAGTCTTGCGAGCAATGATAACTTCACAGATGAAGGATGATGAGAATGACATTGAGAGAGATTCTGATGTAAGAGGTAAAGCTTGGGAGCCCCTGCTGAACCCACGTCCAACCCAAACATCAGTGTCAGTTAGTGGCAATGGTAGAGCTTTTCATTCTGATATCTGGACTTCACGAATGAGAGAAAAGGTACTTCCTTGATTCTTGAATACATTTGCGGAATTTGCAATATGCAATCAATTTGGATGATTAAGTTTTCTTCCATCTTGTACTGAAGTGTATTAACTTCTCGTTACAAATGACATCTTAGACAAGTATAACAAAATACAAGTGAACATTAGACTCACGAGAAAAAAACTGAGTTGGATAAAAATGCATTTTTTTTTGTCCCACCAAAAATAGTTGGAACATAAATCACGGAGATGAGACAATTAAAACCCTAAAATCTTGCACAGTTCTTTCACCCGCATACCCCACTCTCGCTTGTCATCTGTCGAGTCCTGTCTACTCCCATCTACTGGACAGGACAGAATAAGGATCATTGTTCCTTTTTTGGCGAGACTTTTATGTGGATCAGACAGGAACAAAGTGGAACAGTCATGTTCCACTCCATGGAACAAGGTGGAATAAACCTATATTTTACCCATATAACCTCAAAATAAAACATAATTATTTTCTAAAATATCAAATACGCATATTACTTTACATTTTATTCATCCTTTAAATTTTATTTATTATATTTTATGTTTTTTAAACTTTCACTTTGTTGTCATCAAAATATTATTTTTATTCGGTTTATATATTTTGGTTAATTTATTAACTATTAATAATAATAAAAAACAATATAGAAGATGTATAAAATAAAAATTAAACTACATGAACTATTTATTTTTGTGTCATTTTAATCATATTGACGAAAACTTTCTGATGATATATTTTGTTGTTAAAATATTTATTTTATTTTAACTTAATGAATTACATAAATTAATCAAAAAATATTGACAACTCATTAGGGGTAAGTTGGTCATTTTATCGGTTCTGTCATGTTCAGTTTTGTCTTGCCAAACACTAAACAACTGTTCTGTCCTGTTTGATGCAATTTGTTTTGTTATTCCTCACTTGCTGCTTGTTTATGTTTTGTGCATTGCAGTATGGATTGAGTAGCAGTAGTGCCAAGTAGACAGGAAATCTGAGCAATCGAATCCATATATGATATTGTATATCCATAGATTTGGGTCATGCTCATTTCGTTCTGCAGCCGAATATGTTAACTGTGTTGATTGAGAAGAAGGGTGTCTAGATAAAGGTACATACAATCTTTTTGTATAATGTTTGTGTATTTATATTTTGTATAGAAAGTGGAAGCAGTGTGAGGGCATGTTTGTTAGCAGCTTAATGAGCTTAATGGGACACACAACTTATTCGGTCAGCTATACATGACCCTTGGGTTGAGTTCCGTTGAGAAGGAGAGTTAAGGTGAAAAGCGTAAGATCTCCACCTTCTCACCCTTAGATGCATATTAGGATGAGATGCACCCTATATCAAGTGCATTTCATGGGTGGGTTTGAGATTAAAGGTGGTCAAAGGTCAAGATCCCTTCTTAGGCTTCTCACCGTAACTCTCCTTCTTACACGATCCTTCGCCACATGACCTCTTGGTTGTGGCTTAATATTATAGAAAGTGACTTATTTAGTAAGCTCCCGGGGGGAGCTTTATGCAGAAAGCCAAGTTTTTTCCAAACTTGCCCTTCCTAATTAAAAAAACATGCTCATTCAATCTATGAAAAACCTTAGACAAATTAATCTATATAGTCGGATTAATCCACAGACAGTTTTATCCATACAGAACTTAATTGAAAACCAACCGAACAGCCATTGAGTTTTGTAGCCTGTTGTTTGTGCCATCTTGAGTTTATTGCCATCTAGTTGTGACTGTCCATTAGCAGTTTTGTAACGTGGCACCACCTTGCATAAATGTATAGTGGTTGGTTCAATGCTACAAGGTCAAGTCTAGCTCAACCGGCAAATAAAGGTTAGGTATTATGGCAGTAGTGGACCGACATGGAATGATACGGTGGCATGGGCCACTACTTCATGGTTCCGTCTTAATGGGAAAAAATTACGTTTCTGAAAGGTACCACCATATAGTTTTTGAAACTGAAATGTTAACACAAGACTTTAATGACTGAGATAGTAAATGCTCCTGCCTTTTGGGTTCGAGTCCCGCGGTTGTCAAATGTGTTGTTTTTTAGCTTAATTTTAGTGTTTTTATATATGTCTTGTGTTTTTAAAGATAAATGTAGACCGGACTCGAACATGGGTCTCTTCTATGTAACCAATAGATCTATACTAATATTATGAAGGAAAAACATTAGATACTTTCTTATAGTCAAATTATGCTACCACTTGAAAAAAAATTCTAGTTGCCTTCTGGCTCCTTCTCATAGGTCGTCAGTTCGAGTCTTCTCGAGGGGATTTTCTGGTTGTTATTTTCAGGACCTGTGGGATTAGTCGAGAAGTACACAAGCTGATCAAGATACCCACGGTTACCAGACAAGAAATGCTACAAGCTATGATACAGTGACATATCCAAGATCATGTGGAAAAGAGGAGTATTTGTAGAAATCATGGGTTATATAAATTGGGGTAAGCTAAATGCACTTTTATCTACTAATTTTCTCCTCATACACATCAACATCAAAACTTATTTTTTATATTTTTAATGCATAATTTGACCTGATTTTGACATAAAAGAGTGCATATAGCATTCCCCTATAAATTATACCAAATTCCCATTACCTTTTTGTATGTTTTCAAGCCTTTGATGGTGTCACAACCCACAAGTTGTGTCTTTGGCAGTTTCTTCTGGCATTTGGGACCAAACAAGAGGGTTAATGACAAGATAGGGGTGAGGGCCATATCATGTCATTTTCAGTAGTTTTGATGGTTAAAAAAAATGAGATGATGCAAAAGTTTGAATCATGATATGCATTTTGTCCTTTTCATTAAGTTTACCTTTTGCTTTGTGAAGAATGATGAATGATTCTTTCACATGGAAAATAGAGACAAATTGGAGTACTTCACCTCAACTGCAAATCATTCTTTCCTAACAGAGAAAGGAAAAGCTCCACTTTATTAATTTTAAGTTAACTTTTTTTTTTATTAACCATGGGTATGCAGAGCAGCTTACTAGCACCTCGACTAATCCCAGGGTGACCATCTGCTTGCAGATAGCCTGGAGTCACCGCATTTGAACCTCCGTGGCCATAAGGGGATTTTCATTCTTCCTTGGATTTGAACCTGAGACCTCCTGGTACTTTTGACCTTTGGAGCCAAGCTGAAACCAATCAGGCACCACCCTCGTGATTTATAATTTCGGGTATCGTAATAAAATTGATGTCATCTAGGTGAAAATGATAGTCTAGAGCTATTGAGAAATTAGGATATCGTCCTTGAAAACAATGTTGATGATGAAGTTGAAGGACGATACAATACATTTTGAATAAGTTACACGTAATGAAGTATTTATTGCATTCAAAACTCGTAACGGTTTCTTCTGTGGAACGAGAACACAACTAGAACTTTTGAATGCCAAAAAAAGTTAGGTGAATCAAATATTGAACACAACTAGAACTTTTGTACTTTTGTGGGAGTCCGGAGTCACCGCAATTGAACCTACATGGTCGGTCACAAAGAGATTTTTATTTATCCTTGGATTTGAACCTAAGACTTTCATGCATTTTTGATCTTTAGAGCTCAAACTTAAATTAATCAGACATCACTCTAATGGTTTAAAAGTTATCTTCTTGTTTTATATCAAATCAAACCAGTCAAGTCAATAATATCTTACTCGAAGATGTGGTATTAAGGTAAAATGTATGGAAACTTGATTTCTACCCTAAAAAAGTAACACGATTATCTCTGTAACAACTTATACATGCTAAAAAATAAAAGTTAAATTAAAGAATATGATGTCATGGAAAACAGGAGTGTTGATGGAGATCCACTGCCACCCCACCACCATACCTTCGTAAAAGTTCATTGCCACCCTCCACACCACCTCTCTTTTCATTCCAAACAACAATTCCTTCATTTTTAAGTTTCACTAAAATAAATACAAACACTATTGGTATTTAAACAGAACAAAAAATATAAAACCATTGTTTAATGTTTGGTAAGATAAAATTGGATAAGACAAAACAAATAAAATATCAATTTTTGTTAATATTTTTTTTTATATAATTTATTAAATTATAATAAAATATATTTGTTAGATTTTTTTGTCAAAACGCTTAAAACTATACCAAAAGAAAATGTTCATGCAGTTTTCAATTTTTATTTTATACATTTTCTATATTGTTTTTTTTACTATTAATGTTTAATTATTACATAATTAACCAAAATATAGAAACAGTTTAAAATAATATTTTGAGGATAATAAAGTGAAAGTATAAAATACAACAAATAAAATTTTAAAAATGATAAAAATGAATAAAATATAAAGAGGTAGACATATTTGATGCTTCAGAAGATAACTAGGTTTTATTTTGAAGGTATATTGTAAAAATATGTGTTTGTTCCACCTTATTCCATAGGGCCACCTGTTTTGCTTTATTCCACATAAAAATCTTGACAAACATAAAACAATGATCTTTGTTTTGTTATGTCATGTCCATGTACCAAATGCAACTACATGATACATACTATCACTTGCAATGGGTAGTAGAATAAAATCACAAAAAAGACTATTTATTTTGTATTACTAAACAGATGACACCAAAAAAGACCATGATTACTAAAGGGCTTTTGGTCTAGCGGTATGTGAGCCCTTAGCTTCCTAAGAGGTTAAGAGTTCAAACTTCACCAAAGAAAAAAAAGATGTGTGAGTTTATTTATTTTATCTGTTATATATAAATATTATATATTTAAAAAAAAAGGCAATATATGTTTGCAAAATATAATAATAATAAATACTGTTAATCATACACAAATAATGATGTTATAAACTAGGGATTGTAACCCAAAATCACTCCTCTATCTGTCAACTCTATCACACACTCTTCCACAACTTCCTTCACCACCTTCTCTTCTATTTCCTTCTTTATATTTTCAATTTCCAATCTCAAATGCTCCACCCATACCTCCCCTACAACCTCCTTCCTCACCACCCTCTCCACCGCCGCCGTGCCGCCATCGCTGTCCCAAACGCACCTTTCTTCCCCGGATATCCATTCCTTCATCTGCCTCCACACATGCTCCGCCACCACATGCCCACTGCAGCCTGTGATACCTATTAAGGCCTCGTTCACACAGTCGAACACGAGCCTTTGAATTGATTTTCGGTGTCTTTGTTTGGCTCGGTGAACGACTAGTGGCTCGTTATCGGTTAGGCTCATGTACGTGTCCCTCAAACGTGGGTCCAGAGGGGTTTCGGGCGAATGCCACCTGGTCGAAAATGAACCCGACTGGACCTCACCATCAATTCCAGCTGCTGATAGTAGTGTTTGAACATATAAGAAACATGCTTGCTCCTCTTCCTCTGGACTCATGGAGGTTTTACCAGGAAGGGGAGTGGTGGGCCCCACCGCGGAGTCGTCCCATGATAGAGTTCGAGCAATGGATCCAATTAGTGGTGATTTATCGATCAAATTGTGTTTAAGAGGGTCTGCTCCTGTTTATACAACATGAAACATGGAAGGTGCATGTTAGAACATGTGAAATTGCTAAACTAGTTGACAAGCTAGATGACAATGTAAAATGACCAAAAAGGACATGTTAGGGAAATTAATTGGAAAAATACACGAGGTATAATAGGAAAAATTGGAAAAAGAGTCCCCATAGCTTGTTGAAATGCTACTTGAAGTAACATGAAGCATGGAAGGTGCACGTTACCACATGTAAATTACTAAACATTGTGTTAGCTGAAATTCTAGTCGTGTTTGGTAAAAACTAGTTGACAAGCTAGATTACAATGTAAAATGACCAAAAAGGACATGTTAGAAAATTAATCGGAAAAATACTAGGAACATAATTGGAAGAAAAGCCCCTAGCTTGTTGAAATGCTACTTGAAGTAACATGAAACAGAAGATGCATGTTAGCACATGTAAAATTACTAAACATTGTGTTAGCTGATATTCTAGTCATGTTTGGTAAAAACTACTTGACAAGCTAGATTACAATGTAAAATGACCAAAAAGAACATGTTAGAAAATTAATTGGAAAGATACAAGGGGAATAATTGGAAGAAAAAAAAAAGCCCCCATAGCTTTGTTGAAATGCTACTTGAAGTAGGCCAACAAAACGGTACTTTTTGAATAAGCTCGAAAAATAAGCTATCTTATGGTTGCCAAACATAGCATTAGAAAATTGAATACATTTGATGACAAAGATTACCATGTTCAGCCAACTTGGCATTGCGAGAATAAACTGCTGTATGGTCATCATCTTCAAATTGTAATTCTAAGACCGAAATAGGGCTTGGCTGGTCCTGGTTCTCATTGGCATTCCCAGGAGTTTCCGGCTTTCTGACAGAATATCCCCTCTGCAATAACCAATTACAAACCCTTTAGATGATTGTAGCAGTTTTTGAGATTCCAGTTAAAAATCTCATAAATACAAATTCCAAAATTTTCAGTTCTCCCCAAAACCTAATGCTTATATATTAAACTATTGTTGTCATTCAACTTCTTGCCTTGTATCTAGAAGGATAACTAGAGACACAGGCTTAAATTTTCATGAAGTCTGATTCCCACACAATCATGAATATATGATACCATATCTTGGCCAAATGAAAATTTACTTGATAAAAAGAATCTTGATAAAAGCAGAATGCATACCTCGGGTAGATGCTCGCCTACTAGCCCAGCATCAGCTGGACCTTGGCAAGATGCTTTCCTCAAGGATCCATTTAGTCCAGGTACATCTTCAACCACCATATCATTAACGCATTGAGATCCATCAGTACCAATTCGTCTTGGAGAATGCATAGCAGATTGATGTTCATCATCGGACTTGTGGGATTTCAGCTTGCCAGACTTTCTACTCTTGGAGAAAAATAAACCCTTGAACAATGATGATTTAACACCTTTTTCCTTGGTCAAATCCTTAGAATCGTCTTTTTTGCCGTCCAAGACATCTGAGTCTTCACCGAGTCTGGAACCAGATATGCCAGAAGATACTGGAACAGATTTTGACCTCGCAAGATTTTTAGGACTACTGTCAGCATCTTCAGCCTTGTTCAAATCAATAGTCAAGTATGAGGTAGATGCCTTGGACCCTTCTCTCTTTTTACATAGTTCCTCTGACTCTGCTGACTTCTTTAAGTCGGAAAGAGCAAGCATCTCGCCCAATGTACTAGAGCTTCTTCGTATATGTCTTTGTTCTTGAACACTTCCATTTAACGCCATCATTGCCCATCTTTCAGACAGACGCTTCTTAGCCTCCCTGCATACAGATGACTCTGGAGAATAAGATGCACGGCTGAAGGAGGAGCATGAATATGGGCTGCCAAAACGGTTAATATAGTCCCATGAGTGTCGAGAAGTTGGTGACATGACTTCTGAATCGCTCAGATTCCCTGCTGCATAATAAACTTCAGATTTACTGAATGAACTCTCATCGCCAATATAACCATTGGAAAAAACAGAAGAAAGCAGGGTTTCGTCTCTTCTGTGGCTACTTGGATTTTCAGACATACCACATGTGCTCTCTTTTGGGACTTCTCTTGATTCCAGTGTCTCGCTATCTTCTGGATCCCCGTAAAATCCATCATCATTTGATGTTCTTAATGATGAAGGAGGAGAAGCAACAACTTTCATTTCATGAGGCTTCCCAGAGCTAGGTTTCAATACAACAATGCGAGTTGGCTGAGTCGGCTGAGTTGGGTAACCATTATATTTATAGCATTCAGGAGACTGCAGAAATCTGGAATTGCTTTTATCCCACATATTACAGTGACCCATTTGCGCAGTTTCATTTATCTGTTTTCCATTTTTCTTTCCAGAACCAGTTAATTTGTGACCATCCACCAACTTAGAAGGTTTAAGAACTGTGATGCGTCTTGAATCTGGAGGTGGAGGAACAGACTGCAAATTGTGATGCTGAGCAAACAAGGAATTAGGTTCTTGCAGAAGCTTGAGGAATAAATCTTTATTGGAACTTAAAACTTCCAGAGCCTCTTGAAACTTCTTGGACTGGCGATGTTTTTCATCGGTAGATAAACGCTTTGCTTCCATGAACTTCTCACGAACTAAAGCCATACTTTTCTCATTCTTACTTTGTTTACATCTCCCCCGTTGTGGTAAATCACCACACGTTTTGCAGGACTGCTGCCATATTTCATATACATCTTTGTACTCTCCCTGCTCTTGGTACAGATTGATCTCATTATGTTCTCGTGTATTTAAGAATCCATGCTCTTTCTCTATAAAGCCCGTTGATCCCAAATGGTTCCTTGGTCCTCTCAGATTGGTTCTGCATGATGCAGAACCAAGTTGATGTCGCTGTGGAAGGGCATCGAGCCCCATTAACTTGGCAACCAAATTGGGTGGACTTTGCTTAGGACCCTCCTCCTTTGACATTTCTTCTGCAATAAGCATCTTTATAGGCGTCCCATTTAATTTCCTATTTGACGGAGATTTTCCTAACTCAGACACTATCTGCACAAGCCAACAACAAAAGAAATCCACATATTTGTCACTAACAAGGACTCAAGCCTCAAAATAATAGGCATGGCCAAAAAAAGCTCAGTTTGCATGCCACCACTTAGAAAGGGCCCAGTCCATAGCAATTACCACTTTATCATTTATCTGATCGTCAACTATTCGACTCCTTGACACATCTGATTGGCTCCGAGACACTGGGGAACCTGTTCCATGTTCATTTCTGTCATGAATACTAGTACCAGCAATGTCCAAACAAAGAGTAATTACAAACTGAGGAAGTAATACAATAATATTTTTTACAGAATAGGGAACAGCTATCTGTACAGAAAGAATATCAAATTACTGAGACCATTCACCCATATAGAGGAAGGTATCAATTAGAGTTTGATCTTTCTTGTTCTCTTGTAATAGAGATGGGTAGAGGAGAACATACAAAAAAAAAATCACCTTCATAGTGTGGCTTGTCGGTGAGCAACCTGTTTCCTCCTATGCTTGTATTCAAATCAAAAAGGTTCACCATTCTTCCCAGACATCCTGGAATAGGTTTTTCCAAATTCCTATTTCTCTCATTCTGATTCCTGTTCATTTTATCACCTGCTAATGCAAATCTCAAGAGGTTGTAATAAATTAAAGTAAAAAATGATGATATTAATTAATAAAAACATGATTCAAGCTTTCAGATATGCAGAAATACCTATGGAGTAATTTATATATGTATCATGAACTGAAGAAAGCAACTAGCACTTCAGTAGGGTATGGATTGAGATGGCAAATTTAGAAAAAGATCCACTGATAAATTTATTGTTAGAATATATTGAAAGAAACGAAATAAATAGATAAATTAAAAGGTTGAAAGAATAATCAAAGGAACATTACTATTGCTAATTGCTAAATTCCAGCATGTTGAAAAGAATTCCCAAAATGAAAATCAATAAAAAATACCCCAAATCAAACAAACAAACCAAAACCATCATGTTCATCTACATTGACACCAATAATTAATCTAAACAAATTCAACACCACAGAGATACCTAAATTTTTATCTTATTGTAACTTCTCCTCCAATAACCCCTCAGATCAAGAGCGAAAAAAGAAAACAAAAAGAAGGAAGAAATGAAACGTTATTTATAAACATCAATGACAGTCTATCAGAAAACCAGTAGCAGAGAGAGGCTGTAATTAATACAGAAGAAATAAAAGAGAATCAGATTCCGTGTTTACCTTAAAAAAAGCGAGATCGAATCAGAGTGTAAAAAGGCACAACCAAAAAGACGTCAACACTGCAAAAATAAACAGCAACATCAGAAAGAAAATAACAAAGTAAGAGTTTTAGAGAGAGAAAGCAAAGAGAGTATGAGATCAAAACCTTATTAACAAATGAGCTGCTGAATTCTTACTGGAATCTGACATTCCGGTATCAAAATGTTGCCGGAGATTCGCCTGATTTCACTTCCGGCGGTTCTTACAGGCTCCAAATGCATTTTATTTTGAGATTTCCGTTAACGCGCACAGCACAGACATGTATTTAGAGAGAGAAACGAGTGAAGCGAGTAAAACCAGATAATGGAGAAAGAGAGAGAAAGAGATGCGAAGCTAATAAGAAACCGATGAAGAGACTGTAGTATCATTTTTGCATTTTTGGTCCTTATAGTTTGTCTTAATTTCAAAAATGACCCTAATAAATAATATGGTGTAAATTTAAACCCTCAGTCCGTAAAATTCAATCCGTTATTCCACAATATTCAATTTCATTAATAAATAAAAATATTCGGGTTTAATTAAATACTAGAAGCGTATTCGCATAATGCAACGAGATACATCGTGATTTTAATATTTCATTTTATTCTTTATCTCAGTCGATGTTATAATATGACTTTATATGATTTTGATAAAGCGATGATGTTTTTATTTTTGAATAAAATATATGTTTCAAGATATCATAAGAATTTGACAAAAATATATCGACATTAGTATCAAATTAATTATTTGAAATTCCTCATTTTTTGTGTAATTTTTTAATTCAATTTTTTTATAATTTAATTTATGTACAATAACGAAGTAATTTATATTTGGTTTAATAATATAATTTTTTTATGAAAATAATAATTATTTATTTTGTTGGAA